CCCCACAGCTCACCCTCCCACCCTGCTTTGTGTCACCTGCACGTTTGGAGATATCGCATTTAGTTCCTGCATCTAAATGGTGAATGTGTACCATGTGACTGGCTGGGGGTCCCCGCACTGATCCCTGCGGTATCCCACTGGTCAGGGAGTCCCGCTCGGATAAAGACCCACCTATTCCCTGTTTTGTGTTCCCTGTCTGCCAGTCAGTTCACTTTCCAGGTCAGTACGGAACCCCAACCCCAACCCCCAACTTGTGAAAATCCAAGTAAACCACATCCTTTTGCTGGAAATTACACAGCACCTTCATCAAACTCAGTTTCTACCCCACTCGGAGGAATTAGAACATTGAACATGGAACGGTAGTTAATGCTTCCTTTCATTAATCTCTTTTACAAAAACACACAGAGAATACAGAACAGTACAGCACAGGAACAGGCCCTTCGGCCCACAATGTCGTGCTGAACCTGATACCAAATTAAACTGACCCCTTCTGCCTGCCCTTGGCCCATATCCCTCCATCCCTCACATATCCAAGTGCTTATCTAAAAGCCCCTTAAACACCCCTATTGTATCTGCCCCCACCCACCATCCCCTGGCAGCGTGTTCCAGACTCCTACCACTCTCTGTGTAAAACAACTTGCCCCTCACATCTCCTTTCCCCCTCTCACCTTAAATACGTGCCCCTTAGTATTAGTCATTTGAACTCTGGGAGAAAAAGATTCTGACTGTCAACCCTGTATACGCATCTCATAATTTAATGAACTTCTATCAAGTCTCCCTCAGCTTCCAGAGAAAATAACCGGAGTTTTTCCAGCCCCTCCTAACACCTTGTACCCTCTAATCCAGGCAGCATCCTGGTAAACCCCCTTCTGCGATCCCCCCCATCCCCGAAACCTCCAATAGTGCCTGATGCTGACCACTGATTGTATGTTTTAAGCTCAGTCTGCTCACTGCCCCTTGGGATACCCCAGGGTGGGGTATTTACCTGGGGTTTAACACTCAGTGACGGGGTGGTACCTGGTCTGGGATCGTTCCGACACCCCGATGGAGGACAGGACTGGGTATCCCGCACAATCCGACTGGAATAACACTTCCCCGTCTGACACCACGGTATTGAAATGAATGAGGATTGTGGATCCCAGTTCAGTCGTCGTTCAGTTTGCAGTGGATTAATTCGCAGTGAAACGGGTGTAGGCATTTCACAGTGAGCTGTCGGCACGGCCTGTGTCCAGGGGGGCTATAACACAGAGGGACTGTGACCTCTGGTCTCATTGGGACACCTAGATGCATATCGGCTTCCTTAAAGGGACATCTCTCTTGAAGTGGTAGCACCACACACTCCTTCCTGATCTCTGCCTTTAGATCGGGGTGTGTTCAATATCTTCCTATTTCTTCTGAATGTCTCCTTCGCCATTCGGACTGCATAACATTTCAGTTCTGAGTCTCTCTGATCACTGTCCCTTCACCTCCTTAAGTCCCTGAGCTGCATTTTCTGGTTGGGCTTTTAGCCTGACAGAGTTTAAACCCGTGTCTACCCTCATGCACCTCCTGCTGCTTATTTCTGTGGCTTTAGACTCATTGTTTTATCTTCTCACGGTCTTGAGAAGGTTATGTTCGCCCCAGGTTGTGTTCTAGGCTACAGGGTGCGAGTATTTACAACATCCTTCCCATACACAGTGCTCCTGGGAGAGTAAGTATCAAGCTCCCTGTTTATCTCAGAGGCTGTTGCTAGTCCTGAGCTCTGTTGTGGTGTTGGCTCTGTCTCGGAATGAGATGGAATCCCGTTCTGGATTCTGAGTGATCCATCACCTCACAGTCTGGTCTGCTCCTCTCTTTCGACTGACGACGGAGGGAAGATGGTGTCCCCCAGTTAGTGCCTGACGTTCCCGAAATCCTCATTCACAGTCCGAGGTCCATTGTCTGACGCTGGAACACAGTGTATCGTAAGGAAGGGTGTCAATTCTCTCTGATCACTGCCTCCTCAATGCACATCACACCTTCCATCTAAAACCAATCTGATCCATCACTATCCTTCCCCAAGGCCTTTCTGGAAAGTTGGATCCAATCATTGCCTCCCAATGGGGCCCTGATGGCCCGTGTCTGGGATACATTTGACGCATCAGCAAGTGATCCAGTGCGAGTTTGGAAATTCCCAGCCACCGCACTGTTTATGGGCTCTTCCTGTGCACCTCGATGTGCCCCCTCACCGTCCCCCCTCCTCGAGTCTCTGGAGGATTTCCCTTCAAGTTGACCTTGATGGAACCATTCTGTGATCAATGCTGTGAGTGTTCTACCTGCTCGAGGACCCTTGATCTGCTGGAGCTAGACTTGGGCCTCACCCTGATCACACCCTGTAGCACAGTTGGCCAACACCAGGCCTAAGCCTGACTCTGGGAAACTGATAGGTTATGAAGGTTTATGGAGCTTTCTAAATTCAGGAGCTCATGGTAGACTGGTTAGCAAGGTTAGATCCCATGGAATACAGGGAGAACTAGCTATTTGGATACAAAATTGGTTCAAAGGTAGAAAACAGAGGGTGGTGGGGGAGGGTTGCTTTTCAGACTGGAGGCCTGTGACCAGCGGTGTGCCACAGGGATCGGTGCTGGGTCCATTGCTTTTTGTCATTTATATAAATGATTTGGATGTGAACATAGGAGGGTTGGTTAGTAAGTTTGCAGATGACACTAAAATTGGAGATGTAGTGGGCAGCCACAGGGAGAGGTTGGGGCTATTTTCCCTGGAGCGTCAGAGGCTGAGGGGGTGACCTTATAGAGGTTTATAAAATCATGAGGGGCATGGAGAGGGTGAATAGACAAGGTCTTTTCCCCAGGGTAGGGGAGCAGAAACTAGAGGGGCATAGGTTTAAGGTGGGAGGGGAAAGATTTAAAAGGGACCTGAGGGGTAACTTTTTCACGCAGAGGGTGGTGCGTGTATGGAATGAGCTGCCAGAGGAAGTGGTGGAGGCTGGTATAAATACAACATGTAAAAGGCATCTGGATGGGTATATGAATAGGAAGGGTTTAGAGGGATATGGGCCAAATGCTGGCAAATGGCACTAGATTAATTTAGGATATTGGGTTAGCACAGACTAGATGGACCAAAGGCTCTGTTCCCGTGCTGATCCTGTGCTTTAAGTATTTATTGCTACCAGCCTGTTATCAACATCCAATCTCCATTTGTGTACCTGCCCTTCCCAGAGTGCGCTAAGGCTTTGGCTTACTGGGTAAATCATTAGCCCTAAGGCTGCTTGGCCCTTATCTCTTCGTTGACATGTACATGTCTCACTATCACGCAGCAGAAAGAGGCTATTCGGCCCTGAACTAGTTCTATTCCCAAGTGCCCATCTCCTGCCTTTTCCCATAACCTGGCATGGAAACAATCCGTGCCCATTTAAAATAGCCTCCATCATACTCCGCCTCCATCCTGCATCCACGTCTGTAGCCCAGACACATTGTAAAAGATGTGGGTTTTTTTAAATTTTACTTATTCATCCACAAAATGAGGGCGAGGCCCAGGGACGGATGGCAGTTTCCTTCCCTAAACAACATTAGTCAGCCATTGTAGCTCAGTGGTTAGCACTGCTGCCTCACAGCGCCAGGGACCCACGTTCAATTCCAGCCTTAAGCGACTGTGTGGAGTTTACACATTCTCCCCGTGTCTGCGTGGGTTTCCTTCGGGTGCTCCAGTTTCCTCCCACAGTCCAAAGATGTGCAGGTTAGGGTGGATTGGCCATGCTAAATTGTCCCATAGTGCCCAGGGATGTGCGGGTTAGGGTGGATTGGCCGTGCTAAATTGTCCCATAGTGCCCAGGGATGTGCAGGTTAGGGTGGGTTGGCCGTGCTAAACTGTCCCATAGTGTCCAGGGATGTGCAGGTTGGGTGTGTGAAAAGGGGAATGGGTCTGGGTGGGATGCTCTGAGGGTCGGTGTAGAATTGTTGGACTGAAGGGCCTGTTTCCACACCGTAGGGATTCTGTGATTCTATAAAAGAAGTAATTCTACACAAATAAGGTCACGCATGATCACTTTCAGGAGCCGAGCTGAAATGTGACCACAGGCAGGGAGAAAGAGAAAGAGCAGAATATTATAAAACTTAACCCAGGACGTGGGTGAGGAGCGTTGGGGCAAGATAGGAGAGAAACGCCAGCGACAAACAGTAAATGTGGATACCTTTGTGAAGGAGGGACAGTGAGGACCACCAAAAGATCCTGTAGTGAAGGATGTATTTGGTATGTTTGCCTTTATTGGTCAGTGCGTTGAGTATAGGAGTTAGGAGGGTCATGTTGCGGCTGTACAGGACATTGGTTAGGCCACTTTTGGAATACTGTGTGTAATTCTGGTCTCCCTGCTATAGGAAGGATGTTGTGAAACTTGAAAGGATTCAGAAAAGATTTACAAGGATGTTGCCAGGATTGGAGGGTTTGAGCTACAGGGAGAGGCTGGGGCTATTTTCTCTGGAACATTGGAGGCTAAGGAGTGACCTTACAGAGGTTTATAAAATCATGTGGGGCATGGATAGGGTAAATAGCCAAGGTCTTTTCCCCAGGGTGGGGGGAGTCCAAAACTAGAGGGTCATAGGTTTAAGGTGAGAGGGGAAAGATTTAAAAGGGACCTGAGGGGTAACTTTTTCCACACAGAGGGTGGTGCATGTATGGAACGAGCTGCCACAGGAAGTGGTGGAGGTTGGTACAATTACAACATTTAAAAGGCATCTGGATGGGTACATGAATAGTAAGGGTTTAGAGGGATATGGGCCAAATGCTGGCAAATGGGACTAGATTAATTTAGGATATCGGGTCAGCATGGACGAGTTGGACTGAAGGGTCTGTTCCCGTGCTGTACAGCTCTGACTGTATAACTGCACTTGACCAAGCAGAATGCCATTGTCAGTGCAGTACACCCTTAATCTTCATGTCCTGCCCTAAGCCCTCACTGATCCGTGTGACACCACATTGGAGTGAACTAACCGCTCTCTCATTCTCTCTGTCTGTTTGTTAATAAGGCTGGGCTTGACCGTATGGCAGATGGACACATGCTGGCTGATGTCGTAGCAATAATCGGTGGGTAATGGGCTGCGCGCTGCTGTTGTGGGAGGGGAGGGGGGCAATGTGAAATGGATGGGAGGGCTTGGAGCAGAATCATATCAGACCCACCTGGAACAGGAAACAGCCCATTCCAGGAGCTGCATGAGAGCTGGGTTTGAAATTGGATTTCAGTGTCTCCTCATTCCCTGCTGAGCCAGCACAGGGAGGTGGGGAGTGGGAGGGTCGGGGGTCCTTAGGTCCACTCACTCCTTTATCCAGCTAATGGGCAGGAGGAATAAGATCAATTCAACTCTGCAGCATATTACAGTACCCTGTTTTCCCCCCCTCCCTCCCCCCCACCTGACACCAATGTCCCGGTACCCCGTTCCCCCCTGGATCCTGACCGGGTTATGCTCCACTCCATTGTGGATGGGGATGACTGTAAAACTCTGTGTGTTTGATGGGGGACAGTGTAGAGGGAGCTTTACTCGGTATCTAACCCCGTCCTGTCCCTGTCCTGGGAGTGTGTATAAAAGAACAGAAGCCAGGAACAGTATTAAACCTTTGAGCCTGCTGTGCTATTCAGTGCGAATATGGCTGATCCTCTCCCTCAATGCCACATTGCCCACCATGACCCTCAATCCCTTTAATATTTAAATACTTATTAACCTCTTTCTTGCATACACTCAGTGACCTAACCTCTGCTGCTTCCGGTGATAATGAATTCCACAGGTTGGTCACTGAATAAAAACCTATCTCCTCATCTCGGTCTTCTCTGATCTTCCCTGTTTGCCGCTAATCCAACCTATGGTGCTAGACTCCCAGAACCGGGGGAGCTTCCTCCCTCCATCTACAGTCTTGCTCTGTCAGAATTTTAAATGTTGCAATGAGATTCCCCCTCATTTTTTCTAGTGAGTCGCCAGGCTCAGTCAAACCAGCATCTCCTCATGGGCCAGTCCTGCATTGCAAATGTCAGCCAGGTCAAATCCCAGAACGGCAAGGACCTTGTTAGATGTAGAGACCCAAACTTGTACACTGTGCTCCGAGTGTGGTCTCTCCGAGGACCTGTGTGACTGCAGCAAGTTATCCCAACATCCGTACTCAAACCCTCTCGCAGCGATGCGTCTGATGTTAATTCCATCAGCTGGCGGACCAGGGTGGGAGAGTGTTCGAGGGGAGAGAGCGAGTGTTTCGGAGGGAGGGGGTGTTAGCATTTCAGTGGGAGAGTGAGGCAGCAGTATCATCGGGGTAGTGAGGGAGAGAAGGGGTTAAGGGGGTGTTGGAGAGGGATTTGAGAGGGTGAAAGACTGGTGTTTTCCGGACTGGGGCAAAGGGCCAGATGAAGGGATGGACAGAGATAGCGAGAGGGGTGTTGGATGAATAGGAGGAGTGAATGAGCTGGGGCAGAGAGAGAGAGGGAATGCGGAGCGGTGTATTCAGAGTGAGTGTGGCTGAGAGGTGACAAAGGGGAATAGGAGAGTCAGTGGAGGGGATGGAGGGTGCGGGGGGTGGGGTGTTGTGGAGCTGGGGTTGCCAATAAGGACTGGGAAGACGGACAGAGATGGGGGAAGTCTAGGGCAATAGATGGGGAGCTGCCGAGGGCTGCAGTGGGATGAGGAGACCAGTAAATGGAGTGAGCAGACACCAGGCGGGGAAGTCTCAGAGAGGAATTAGAAAGAAACCGTGCAGAAGCCTGTGGCAAGAATTAGCTGCACCCTGTCCTGTGGGCTGAGAAGTGACAACACCCACCCCACCCCCAACAAATTGTGGCCTAACTTCCCCATTCCGAGTAATTCCATCATTCAGCACCACAGTCACCGCCATTCAGAGCGTGCTCCCTTCATATCTAACCCCGTGCTGTCCCTGTCCTGGGAGTGTTTGATGGGGGGACAGTGCAGAGGGAGCTTTACTCTGTATCTAACCCCGTGCTGTCCCTGTCCTGGGAGTATTTGATGGGGACAGTGTAGAGTGAGCTTTACTCTGTATCTAACCCTGTGCTGTCCCTGT